CCTCCTCCTTGTCTGGAACTCTACCTCACCAGTCTGAAGCAGCCACCCTGTCCATAACAATTCCGGACCTGTTACTAGGGGCTTCGTCCGGATAAATTCCGGAACACGTTATCCGGATGTTTGTATTCAGACACAAAGGTCTTACGGACAGAGTCCGGAACATTTCCATTTTTCATGGCCTGTCTGAAGGGGGCTCATGATTGATGTCAAGTTGTTGTTGTTAGCCTCAAGGGCATTATGCCGATTATCACTTGTAAGTCGCTTTGGACGAAAGCGTCTGCTAAATACATAAACATAAACATTCCCAGACAATATGGTGGAACTCAGCAAAGCATCAAAAACAAACACACAGGGCATTGACCATTGACCGAAAAAGTGCAGAAACAAACAAAATAAACAAATCGTACAATATATGAAAGGGGAATATAAAAGCGTGTGAACGCAATTAATGAATTTAAAAAGAAAGAGCAAATTAATCAGTAGCTCGTAACTGACACAAAGTTCAAATTAAAGTATAAAAGGTGTGTGATAAAGTAACCACTGGTAGTCAAATGTAATGGAAATGTGTTTGTATCCCTTGAAGGAAAATAACAAAAATGAAAAATACATGGAAGAAGAAACTTACAACAAGAGGTGGAAGAAGTTAATCAGTAATAGTAATCGAATCCTATGTGTGTGTACCACAAATGGAATTAAAAGATTAGTAATGTGAAAATGAAATTAACAATGAAAAATTGAATCAGTGTATAAAAGTTTAGAAAATTTTTAACTATCTAGAAACTGGAAAAAAAAATTGAATTTAGATTAATCTCAACAGTGAGCAGTTTTAACTGCATTTCACTTTTACGAAACTAGTCATCATCTCAGATCTTCAGCAACCCACAGCATGACGACATGAAAGCCAACCAAGTCCGTACGTTATGGACCACCAATAACTGTTTAATTTTAAGACTGAATAGTGTCTCTCACTGAGAGCTCTACCTGTCCTGTTATAATTACTTCGTCAGTTCCTCTTTTAAAATGTATCTCGACATCAAGGCCCTATCAACACATTTAACCCTTACATGCCTTACTTGTGATCCAGTGCCAGAACAACCCCTGCAGGGTATCCGCGGGTCCTTAAAAAGTCTTAAATTAGCTTTTCCTAATTTAAGGCTTTAAAAGTCCTTAAAAATGACAAATAATCCTTAAATCCAGTTTCCAAAGGTCTTAAATTACCAAAGACCCAATAAACAAGATTCTTTTATTTCTATAAAAATTTCGTGAATTTCTAGTTAGTGTTCAGCATTTTTTGTGTATGATGTTGACGTAAGCGGAACCGTACGCAGTCAGTTGGTTGTGAAAGGGGGCTATTTTTTTAGATGAGCACATTAGCTGGTTAAGCTAGTGGGAGCTTGCGCCATGGGGAAGGGCAAGTTTAATGGTAACTGGATGGCTAATCCCACGTTCGCGACGTGGTTAGGACAGGTTCCAGGCAATATCTGGAAATTATCGCTTAAATTTAATTTTTAAAATAGCTTAAATTTGGTCTAAGTGGCCTTAAAAAAGGTTTTAAAAAGTCTTAAATTTTGCTCCCTTAAATCTGCAGATACCCTGCCCTGACCGTTTGAGTGGACAAACCTGGCTCATGCTCGCAGAGGCATTACTTTCGTAGGGAACTAACCCAGACTGTTCACAGTGGGTCTAGTTCCTCTGCTTACCTCCTACTGGCTTGGATTCAGAAAACTGTGTTGGCCAGGAGAAGTCACTCCACACGATCACGTTTCTGGATCTCACTGGACTGGTTATAGGGGGTATCGTAGAATTCTGATGTGTGCAGCAGAGTGTGCAGCTCAGATCCAGAGATGCTGCACGAGCCTTGTCGATCCCAGCTGGCTTCTGGGATTAGGAGCAAAGGGCTAAACTGACCTGTGCTGAGTTCCCCTTATGAGGAAGGAGCTTTCAGCAATAGAACTGTTTAAGTAGATAAGATAAGTCAAATCACTCGCAGGAGACGATGCTTTGTTTTTTGGATGCTAATAAGGCAACCCTTTTAATGAGTAAAATGTTTTAACACAACAAAATCAGCTGCAATATAGATGACTAAAAACAGCAAATCCATATTTCTTTTGAGAGTTTTGTTATTTTATCTTTTTTTTTTGGTTGATAATGTAAAACAGGGGTGCCCAATCCTCGTCCTGGAGGGCCGGTACCCAGCAGGTTTAGTGGGTTTTCTGCTCCAACACACTTGATTAACTGGTTGAATCACCTGTGCAGCATCTCATCAGGCTCTGCAGAAGCCTGTTAATCAGCTGCTGATTGAAATCAGGTGTGTTGAAGCTGAATTAAAAGTAAAACGTGCTGGATAGCGGCCCTCAAGGACCAGGATTGAGCACCCCTGATGTAAAACAAGTTAAAATTAACATCTAGTAAAATGTGTCTACTTAACTAAAGTTAAAATGTGATTCAGACTAAAGTATAACATCAAAATATTGAAATGAGATTATAAAATCAAGATATATCAAAATGGAAAAATGTAAAGGCAAAATGCAATTCAAAATCAATCAATCAAAATCTTAAGAGTTACAAGTAAAATTGAAGGGCAAATGTTATTGCACTAAAATGTTAAGGATTAAAGATTAACAAATGAAAGAGATATAAAATCAAGAGTAAGTAATGAAGTTTCTTTGTAATTAAGTAGGAATGCAGGGAGTGCAGAATTATTAGGCAAATGAGTGTTTTGTCCACATCATCCTCTTCATGCATGTGGTCTTACTCCAAGCTGTATAGGCTCGAAAGCCTACTACCAATTAAGCATATTAGGTGATGTGCATCTCTGTAATGAGAAGGGGTGTGGTCTAATGACATCAACACCCTCAACTTCCTTTCCTTTGGCAAAATGGGTCAAAAGAAGGACTTGACAGGCTCAGAAAGGTAAAAAATCGTGAGATATCTTGCAGAGGAATGCAGCTGTCTTAAAACTGCAAAGCTTCTGATCATCGAACAATCAAGCGTTTCATTCAAAATAGTCAACAGGGTCGCAAGAAGCGTGTGGACAAACCAAGGCGCAAAATAACTGCCCATGAACTGCGAAAAGTCAAGCGTGCAGCTGCCAAGATGCCACTTGCCACCAGTTTGGCCGTATTTCAGAGCTGCAACATCACTGGAGTGCCCAAAAGCACAAGGTGTGCAATACTCAGAGACATGGCCAAGGTAAGAAAGGCTGAAAGACGACCACCACTGAACAAGACACACAAGCTGAAACGTCAAGACTGGGCCAAGAAATATCTCAAGACTGGTTTTTCTAAGGTTTTATGGACTGATGAAATGAGAGTGAGTCTTGATGGACCAGATGGATGGGCCCGTGGCTGGATTGGTAAAGGGCAGAGAGCTCCAGTCCGACTCAGACGCCAGCAAGGTGGAGGTGGAGTACTGGTTTGGGCTGGTATCTTCAAAGATGAGCTTGTGGGGCCTTTTCGGGTTGAGGATGGAGTCAAGCTCAACTCCCAGTCCTACTGCCAGTTTCTGGAAGACACCTTCTTCAAGCAGTGGTACAGGAAGAAGTCTGCATCCTTCAAGAAAACATGATGTTCATGCAGGACAATGCTCCATCACACGCGTCCAAGTACTCCACAGCGTGGCTGGCAAGAAAGGGTATAAAAGAAGAAAAACTAATGACATGGCCTCCTTGTTCACCTGATCTGAACCCCATTGAGAACCTGTGGTCCATCATCAAATGTGAGATTTACAAGGAGAGAATACGGTACACCTCTCTGAACCGTGTCTGGGAGGCTGTGGTTGCTGCTGCACGCAATGTTGATGGTGAACAGATCAAAACACTGACAGAATCCATGCATGGCAGGCTTTTGAGTGTCCTTGCAAAGAAAGGTGGCTATATTGGTCGCTGATTTGTTTTTGTATTGTTTTTGAATGTCAGAAATGTATATTTGGGAATGTGGAGATGTTATATTGGTTTCACTGGTAAAAATAAATAATTGAAATGGGTATATATTTGTTTTTTGTTAAGTTGCCTAATAATTATGCACAGTAATAGTCACCTGCACACACAGATATCCCCCTAAAATAGCTAAAACTAAAAACAAACTAAAAACTACTTCCAAAAACATTCAGCTTTGATATTAATGAGTTGTTTGGGTTCATTGAGAACACGGTTGTTGTTCAATAATAAAATTATTCCTCAGAAATACAACTTGCCGAATAATTCTGCACTCCCTGTATTGGTTAAGTTGAGATGAACTTCAGCAGTTTACATTCCCTATAGGTAGATAGATAAAATCCTTTCCTGAGCCTTTGAGCGCCGCCAAGCTTCTCGCTTACCGGTTTTGGTCAGTACCTCTCAAATGCTGGAGCTCTGTTTTGTCCTCTATCCTAGTATTTATTACTAGGCTGTGCATATAAATAAATGCAGCGTCTCTGAGGCACTGGCCCTAAAGGCCGTTTTGATGCAGCCCTTGTTTGCAACGCTTGTTCCAGATTTAGAAAAAGAAAAGATTGCGCTGTAGGATCATTTTCCATGGTTTCCCGAGGTTTTCTGCCTTCAGGTTACAGAATGACAATCGCGAGAGCCCTGTTTGTTCTTTGTTGATCACTTTTATAGCAAATTCACTGCACACCCTTTCCATCAGACAGTGACATCATTAAGCTTTGGCTTCACAGTTGTAACCACAGCTTGTGCTTTTGTGAGTTCAAAAGTTGTAACCTCATCCCGACTCCTAGGCAGGGTGACATGAAGGTGCTCTCACTTTTGGCACGATGTATCATCACATTCTGTAATTACATCAAGGTGAAGTCAAGTTTACGCTTTTACAGGTGCAACACAAGTAGATAACATTTAGAACCAAATGTCGTCACCTCCGCTGTGGATTTCAGTTTTTAGTGGGGTGACTCACATTCTGTGCATATCAAGGTCTCTGCATCTCGTGCATGCTTTAGCAGGAAGGTTCAGGTGTCAGCACCCGGTCCCAACAAACATTTTGTCTTTTTTTTTTGTCCACCGTGAGTTCCTGTTCATACAAAGGGCCAGGGTGGTAACCCTGAGGCAGCCCCCGCCGCACCCTCCGTGGACAGGAAGAGCGGTGTCGCCAGACCCCACCTGGTGTCCAGTCCGAGCAATTCTGCATGTAGAACTCTCCACCAGCAGCCAATCCAGACCATGGTCCACCATCTTCCACCGGGCAGAACGCACCAGCAGGTGTCCAGCCTCCAAGCACTGCTGTGGGATGACTCCACCATCATATGAGTACACCAAACGGGAGTCCAACATCCGTCACATAGCCATCTCCCAGGTAACACGGTAAAGATTACTAGAATCATGAAGCCTTTTTCTAAACATCACCAGGTGCCTCCACCTTGAGGGCCCAGCACGGTCCCCCGCTGAGTGTTTACTCACCAGCACATGGCCAGTCTCCTGGTGCACCCAAAATCTACAGAGGCGATGAGTATTTACAGCCTCCCCCCTAGAGTCTGAGGGAGTAGAAACAGAGTGCTATCTCCATGGCTCTTCCTCCAAGCACTCTGACCACCAATGTCCAGATTGCGCATCCGCACTGCGCATTCCTCCACCTCAGCCCACCGAGGCCCCTCGGGAGCGACCTGGGCCAAACTCTGACATCCTCTTCCATGCTACAGTTGAGACAATGAGTCCCAGCAGCATGGGCACGGGAACGAAAGAAGAGCACAACGTTATGAAAAGCAAAAGCAAAAGAAGTAGTCGGGCGTAGAGCCCCATCAGGGGTATTGTCTCCATAAAGATTATTTACAACATAGCACAACCCCACCGCAGTCCATTCCTCGTCGGAATATAACAAGTCCAATGTTCTCGGCAAACCACCATGATTTCTGTGCCTTGCAAGAAAGTACAGACACATAGCAGTGGCGAAGATTGCAAGAACGTCTAAAATGGCCTCAACAAAGCAAGATGCCCCGTGAAGCCAGCACAACATCAACACCGGCCTAAGTTTGAGCTGTAGCATAGGCCATTCATTTGCAGTTTTAACGCACCAATATGTAACCACGGCTATGGAAAACCCAATTAGCCCCCCATCAATCATTACCAGCCACATCCATCACAAATGAGAAAATTGCTAAGCAGTGGCAGCCAAACCGACAATAGCAATAGTGCGGTTGATCACCTTCAAAACCCCCATTCATTTAACAAATATAGGAAGAGCAAACACCCAGACAGGAAAACGTGTCCCTTAAACAGTCATCTACACACGCTGTTATATACACAAGGCACTTAAGAGCACTGATATAATACTGCACGAAAAAACGAGCACAAGACAAGGGATACATAAATCAGTCCAATCCACTGTCTTACCAGATCATAACGGTCAAGTGGTCCCCTAGACGGGAGGCCAACATCACTGGCATTGGACAGACCGGCCATCGACTCGCGGTCATCATCGCTAGAATTGTGGGCACTCATTCTGAAACGGGATTTTCGCTCAAGACCCTCTGTGAGCTGCAAGGAGCAGTATGTCTGTTCTCAACGCAAAATGTGGTCTCACACTCCTGCACACCTGTTTGCTGTCTCTATTTCCTGTGTCCTCCCTGCACCAACATATATGCATAACCTCAAACTCACAGCATTTTCTGATCAAAACCCCCAGCAGCACACTCTCTTTATACAGACAAAGCAATCTGAGAAAAGCACCCACAGTGTTGCTGCCCCTTGGCATCCAAGAGAAATAAGGGGGAGAGCTTCGACGGGTGCAGCTTTTTATTTGCGTCAGGATGTAGATGCACACATCTCATTCCCAGAATTGCACCGAGCACCTGGTGCCAGTCACTGTGCAAACACCGTGAAAACTGAAAATACATAATTTACAAACAAATTAAAGACAATAGCTGACAAACATCAGGAGCAACAAACAGAAACAAAGAACAAATACCTTGCTCCTCTTGCCATGGGGTGCAATCAAAGTAATGTCATGCAGAGCCTTGGCACAGCAAGACCATAGACTAAATGTACAAGCATTTGTTAGGGCAACATGTTCTTATTTAATCAGTTTTAGACAAAATACCCGCACTTACGTGGAAGTTTGGTCTGCTGCAACACGCCAAGCCAGGTGGAATGCCAACGCCACGTCCACATCCGGGTTAACGCCCACTTATATGCAATTGAATGAGTGACGTTGACTATCGACCTGCTCTCAGCCATTTACACTCCCACCAAATCATGATTTATGCAACAAAAAAAAAAGGCAGTTAACAGTACTGTATTTTACTTCCTAATTAAAAACAAAGAGCAAAAACTTAACTCTCAACTAACACAACCAGTTTTTGTACAGGACGTCCAAGAACGGACACACGGTTCTGTCTATCATTCAGACCTCTGTTTCTCATCTGAACCTTAACTCGTCAGACTATTCCATCTTTTCCCTCTGCAGTGCCAATCACACGACCCAGTTGCCACTGACATCTTGGAAGTACATCATCTTTAACAAGGACTATGTCATCCACCTTTACATTGCGGCGCAGTTTGTGCCATTTTTGTCTGAGAGAGATGTTACTGAGATATTCTCTTTTCCATCTGCTCCAGAATTGTTCTACGAGAAACTGTACTCTACGCTACCTTTTGAGTGCATACACGCCTTCTTTGACAAAGTTCCAGGTGTTGGTAAAGCAATTTTAGACTTCATAAGGATAAGATGATTAGGAGTGAGTGGTTCAGGTACGTTAGGTTCGTTAATGTTGTAAACAGTTAAGGGACGACTATTAACAATAGCCATAGCCTCATAGAACAAAGTTCTGAGTGATGAGTCATCCATTTTGTTGGGTACTTGAGCAACTGTAGCATCCAACACATTACGAATGGTCCTGATCTGGCGTTCCCAAATACCGCCTGCATGACTCGCTGAAGGAGCATTAAAAACAAACTCACATTGTTTGTCCATCAGAAATGCCTTAAGTTTATCATTACACTGGTTTCGAAGTTTTGAAAGCTCATTCTTTGCTCCAATAAAATTTGTGCCTTGGTCACAACGCAGCTGGCTAACTGCTCCTCTCAGACTGATAAAACTTCTCAGCGCATTAATAAAGGCATCTGTGGAAAGATCTGTTAGCATTTCAATATGGATAGCGCGTGAAGCCAAACATACCGTTTACATTCCTTCCGCCCATTTTTTTGTGACAAATGGCCCAAAACAATCCATGCCACAGTAAGTAAAGGGAGCTGAAGATTCTATTCGTTCCTCTGGGAGGTCGGCCATACGCTGTTCTTCTGTGGGACGCCTGAGTTTCCCACACAGAACACACTTGGCAATGAACTGGGCGACGAGTTTACTTCCATTAAGGATCCAAAAGCCATTCGCTCCGATTTCCATTAAGAGTCTGATTCCTGCCTTGATGACAAACTGCTGCATGGTAATGAGATGGGATTAATTTAACAACATGGCTTTCCTTTGGGAGAATGAGTGGATGTTTTACTTGTTGACTTAAAGTTGCCTTGGATAACCTGCCACCTACGACCATTTACCAATAAGGGATCAAGAGAGCTTAGAGGACTCGACTTTGGGAGACTTTCTCCCTTCTGAAGAAGCTGCAGCTCCTTTGAAAATGCCTTCTTCTGCACTAAGCCTACTACAGCTTCTGCTGCCTTTTGGTACTCCTCCACAGTAATGGAATCACTTTGGTGCACTCCTTTTGATCCAAGTTTCTTGATTCTAGCAACAACCTTATAAGTTTAAACCAGCTAGAAAATTGACTCAAGCTATCCAAAATTGCAATTTCTTTGGTGGTTAAAACTGACAAGGTTTTAACTTCTGGATCACCTACAACCAGCGCAACCAGGGGTTTCTGCAGCAAACATGGTTGTGGTTTCCACAAAAAACTAGGTCCAGATAACCAATTGGGGGATGAGATTTCTGAGGCACTAAGCCCTCTAGAGGCATGATCAGCTGGATTTTCTGCTGTTTCAGTGTAATGCCACTGAGTTACTTCTGTAGTTTCTCTGATGAAATGAACGTGATTAGCTACAAACACATGGAATCTCCTGGCTTCATTGTTTATGTAGGCTAATACTACCCGAGAATCTGACCAAAAGAGCTCGTTATCAATTTGCATCTGCAGTTCTGTTTTTAGCATCACACTTGACCCTAGGAACACTCATTACCTTCAGAGGTGTTACTCATGACTTTGCCATAACCAGGCAACAATGAACCTCTCCTTGACCATTTTTGAACCTTAGATAAGAACACACACTATATCCTATGCTGCTGGCATCTGCAAAATGGTGCAACGCAGTCCTCACAACGGTACCAAAGTTTGGAGGATGATAACATCTTGGTATCGCAATCCTTCTCAGGAACACAAGTTCTTCTTTCCATTGCTCCCACTGTGTGCTCAACCTCTGGAAGGGCATCATCACAGCCCACACCCCTAGTGCAAAGTTTCTGGAGGATACGTTTACCAACCAATACAAAGGGAGCTAAGAAACCTAAGGGATCAAAATGGAAGACACAACAGATAAGATGTGACGTTGAGTTGGAGCCTGATCCTTTACATCAACACCTATGCTGAGGACATCATTGCTGATTAACCACTGAAGCCCGAGTACACGCCCCTGTGCCTTAGAATCCAAGTTTAGCTCATGAGGTTCGACAGTCACTGCTCTTTCTGTGGTAGCTACACAAGATAAAACCTCTGAGATGTTAGAGTTAAACTTATGTAGGCATAACCCAGCCCTTTTACAGAGTTCTTGGGTTTGAAGGATGAGTTCCGTAGCCTCTTTGACTGACTAGTCAGACCATCATCTACATAAAAATCCCTGCTAATGAAAGTTGTTGCTAGGGGATATTCTGTTTCATGTTGCTGAGCTAGATACTTTAAAGGAGACATAACATGCTTTTAAGTTATTCCTTTTTACATCTAAATCCTTCAGTTGGGGTCTAAATACAGTGGAACTGCAGTTCTTTGGTCTGATTTCCTCATTATTGTTGCTCTACAGACCCTCATCTACCCCTGTTCTGAGGAGAGTCTTGAGAACGAGCCGTTTTGGGGTACTGTCTCTTTAAACTGGAGGAGGAGCTGTAAACTCCACCCCCCCTCCATAGTGCAGACCTGTACTCTCCTCCCCCAGTCGGACTTTGTAGTTCTATAGAGAAATCATTATTTAGCATAGCAGATTTAGCATAGCATATTAGCATTTTTAAAACATGTGGGGAGAGTAGTTCATCAAGCTGTTTCATGGCTGCTAACTCTCTCATGCATTTGTCTGTAGTCACTCACACACACCCGTCACGGCCGACGGAGGCGGAGGGACAAGCGAGCAGGCGCGCGCACA